CACACACACACACACACACACACACACACACACACACACACAAAGCTAGGAAAGTAAGGGGATAGGTAGGTCCAGAGCCGTTGAAGTTTTGAAATCCCGTAAGGCTTGCAATGATCTACTTTGACTTTCTCGTGAAAATTACCCCCCTTTGAATGTTCTGACTACAAGCAAACATGATGCTTAATTCTTATAGTACACGATGTATAAGTCTGATGGGACATATAGTACACAAACACTGACGGTTGCGTAGAGCAAAAGTAGATACCAAAATGACGCGTAATCTCCCAGGGAGGTTTTCTGCGGTTGTTTTCAAACGTTTTTTAAACTTTGATGGTTGTTCGCAGACCTCCCTCGCTCTCTTTCTCCCACTATCTACACCTCCCTGCCTCAAGCCTTCTGTTGCTCGGGCAGAAGAGAGAAATGGATGATGGAAAGAAATGTTCAACACAGCGTATCTGTGTCAGAGTTCCTGCTCAGACATGGGAATGCACCCACATGCCCACAGACACTCACGGAAACACACCCACATACTGAAACACAAACACACACACAAAGCTCATGTAAAGGGAAACGAAAAAACCATGGAGGAATAAGTTGCTTGATATTATTGCTCTATATATAAACTACAGGCTGTGGGTGCCTGTACGTGTGTGTTTTTTAAAGATTTCGCTCGAATGGCCTACGTGATGATGCTCTCTTCATTTGGGACCCTCAGTGAAACGTCTCCCATAAACAGAGTTATGTAGATTACGTCTGCATATTGCCAACAGGAACAGATCAATTATTTGATCTTGTTGCTCATGAAGGGAATCCATTCATTGAAATTCAATAACTGTTTACAAAAACACTGAAGAGAAACGTGTAGACTTGCAGATCAGACAGCAGAGCTGGGTGTGTAATGAATGTTTAAATTAGGTCACCCTCTCCATCCCATCTTCAGTGCTCCTTTCTGAGTAATAAAGCAGAATAGTATCTAAGACATAACAAGCCTCCCCTTCCCATAGCATTAATCCGTGTGGGCTCTCTGTTTTCTGAAGAGCATAAACGTGTTGGAGGACGTTTCTCAGTGTTATGTCACTTTTCCAGCCATCTGCCACTGTGAAACCTTTCTCTTTTGGTGCTGTAAAAGAAGATGAAGCTCCTTCAGCACATCTCTTCATTTCAAATGAATAAATGCAAGTCTGCTTGACATTGTCGCATAAACTGAAATAGCATTTTAGAAGCTTTCGGTTAAAAGCACTCAACATGTTAAGCATCTTTTGCTCTGTGTGTAGTTGAAGTTGCATTATATGCAGGAAGTTAAAGCAAGAGTTTTGTAGATGGCATGTTTGCCTTGCCAGGTGACTCCCTGAAGTCTTTACACAACAGCGAGTTTGCTCAACAGTCAGCTGAGACTGCGGGAATCCACAGCACTCATTAACTGGTCTCCAAGATGTTGCTACAGCCAGCACATTTACAAGTGACTAACTTCTCAAAGACATGTGCAAGGTGCCCATCAGTGTCTATGGCACGATGCATGGGGTTATATACACAGTGAAGCACGTTGCGCTTCCAACTTTGTTGAGGATTTCATGATGCTTCACTGAAATGCAGTGAGTAGTAGCTTTTAGGGTTTATGTTTATGTGAAGTAAAACTAAATAAGTGAATCAGAAAGTAAAAATAAAGGACTTTGTGTAAAATCCAGTATTTTGTCAACCCATCTGTCCACCACAGCATCCTGTCTACATGTTACACTTGTGTGAAAGTCACACTTAATGTGAGTTTCTCCTTTTCTCTGAGTTGCAAGGATCGTGAAGATGAAATATATATGAACTACATGAAGTATAAGTTTTAATAAAACTGCTTTTCTTGAAATGGCAGAGAGCCTGTTCACTTAGTAATCCCATTGCACCAAATTTGGCTGCATTTCAACTTCAGGGAAGACTACATTTACTGGAGCTCCATAAAACCCCATTTATTATGGACTATCTCCATAATCAATAAATATATTTGAGATTTGGGCTTCCTGCCTGATTTTCTTTTAAACCTACACTATTGATATCACTAATATGACAGCAGTTCAGCAGTTTACTTTTACGGCAACATGAGGTATTGCGTAAGAATGTACCCAGACCCCATTTTGTTCATTAACAACACCTGATAGATGAATGAAAGAAGGCGTGCCATTTTTCTTTTAAGCACACCAACTGATTGTGCTCTATTTGATCACTTACGTGCATTTAAAACCTCTGGTAGTAGATCTCATGGTAAGCTAGAAAACTGAGCTTTGTAACATGTTTTATGCTGCGAGAAAAGTCCAGTAATCCAAACAGAGATGTAATGAAGAAACACAGTGAAACTCACCAGTTCGACACAACAAGGAACATGGGAAAACTGAAAGCTTAAATATGTAATGAGGGGAGGTCCTTTTCCATCAGGTGGAGAGCAGCTAAAAATATGAGGGCAGTGTTAGCCAAGGAGTACAAAACTCAAGCGTAGCGGTTAACATCATTTATTTACAATAACACAAGAGTAGAGCATTTCAAAAAATGGAAAAACTAACGGCGAGCTAGATGTCCCTTTTATACAGATGACATGCAGAAGTCTTGAAACACATGCTCTAGCACCAAACATCACAGAAGTCACTCTTCACCAGTCGTATCACACTGGGAAAGGCCTTCTTACTGGTTCCAACTCCTCCACTACATCCAGCACCAGTTTCACAGACAATTCCAGGGCCAATCTCATTGGCATCCATCTGGCCAATCCATCCTGTTGCTCTTGTGAAGCTCTGCCATCTTCATGCTTGTGCCACCTCTGCATATGCTCTGTGCCACCTCTGTCTGATTGCCCTCACCTCCCATCTTTTATGCAGCACTAGCAGGTGCAGATAATTTTTTTTGATTAAGGTGTGGGTAGGAAGTAAAAGAAAAACTTCAGAATAAAAGCATGCATGCAAAATGTATACAAAAAACATGGTATAAACTAAACCACTAAAAAACACAGAATAAAACATTAAAACTACTCCTACCCCAAAACAAATACAGTTAAGGTAACAGGGATAGAGGACACAGCGGGGGGAACCAAGACATGGGTTAATTGAATAGGAAAAAAAAAACACAAGGGGAAGAAAAAGTGATAACGTCCCACAAAACCAAACAGACAAAAAAAACAGGAAGTAACTAAACACCAAGCACACATAGAGACTTAACAAGACATAGATGAGGCAGCATAACTGAAATGTAACCAACCGGAAAACTCTGAAGTCCAGCACATAATCAAAAACAAACAAACCTAGGAAATCATTAATAAGCTGTAATAATTATTAACTCTCAGCTGGGGTCCTTTCTTAAGATCTGCTTTGACTTATGATGTAGTACTCTGTTGTTGTGGTTGAAAACCAAGGATCTCATCACATGATTAATTTGTTCATTTATATTTTGTTAATGTGCAAATGCTAAATAGTAAAACTTTCTTCAAGTAAAATAAGAAATTGTTAGTGACAGCCACAAAAACCGCTACAATTTGCTCCTTGTCTCACTGTCCCTGAAGCTGCAAACCAGCTCAGCCTGCCAGCAGAGGCTCCTCATGTTTTGCTGCTGATAAATTTGTCCTTCGCATACAATGCAAGTCCATCTAGCAAGCATTTAGGCTGCAGCTTAAGAGGAAACTAATCAGCAGCTCTCTATATTTAAACTCACATTTTCCTTTTTCATTTGCAGTTTTTTTTGTTTCGGGCCGATCTGCGAGGGCAAGCTAATATTGCACAAACCTCCAGTTTTCAGTTGCAAATTTACAGGAGCTCGCACTGCAGTCACTTTTTTTTTTTCCTGCAAAGAGCGTCTGTGTGCTGTTTACTGGAGTATAAATGAATAATTAGAACTTGTGCATCTGTCTCATCTTGGGAGAATATCTCGCATTTTTTGATGTGTTCTATGTTTATCATCGCCTCTTCCTGTCTTCTCCCTCACATACATACAATCTGCTTTGAAATGCTTATTTATTATTTATGTTTTAACAGCAATGAAGGTCATATTTTATGCTTCACAGCTCCTGCTTTGCATAAATCTGATATTTTATAAATGTCAGAGTAGCACAAAGTTATGCAGACTCATGTACCCTGATTCTGCTTGTTCTCATACTCTCTGCTCTTGCCCGGGTTCTTCCTTTCCCTGTTGCCTGCTCCTTCCTCACTGTTCTGCTCTTTTTCACCTCTCTGTGTCTCACCCTCCACTCTCTCTCCTGCCCTTCTTCAGCTCTTCTTCTGTTCCTCCATACAGCTTTTTTTTCTTTGATCGCTCTCCATTTGTTTCTTTACCCTCCCACTCAGCATACTGACACAGCTGAAGGGATCTCTCTCTCTCTCTCTCTCACACACACTCTGTCTCCCTCATTGCTCTCATTCTTCTCTCTATCTGTCTTTCTCCTTATTTGCCTCCCTCCGTCTCTATCTTTACCTCCCTCCCTCACTCTCCCTCCTTTCCTCCCTCCCTGTCATCCTCCTCCCTCGCTATCTCTCCATGCACACTTGATTCATTTTACACATTACGGAAGCATCCATCATTTTTGCTCTGTGGAGGAAAAATCTCTTCTTTTTTTTCCCCTTTTCTTTTAAAAAAAAAAAAAAACCCGCAACAGTATTTTCCACTTCTCTTCTTTACGGCTGTCTTCTCTTTCCCAACTCCTACACTCTCCTGTGGATCCAATCCTAAAGCTGGAACCAATATGTTTTATTTTCAGCTGGTCATCATGGCAGGGACCGTTCTGTTGGCGTACTACTTTGAGTACACAGACACGTTCCCCGTGCACATCCAGGGCTTCTTCTGCTTTGACAAAGCTTACTCCAAGCCGTACCCAGGACCAGAAGAAAACAGCAAGGCTCCACCTGTCCTCGTCTACTCTCTCGTCACCGCCATACCCACTGTGACGGTGAGTCTGTTTTCAACTTAAATTTAAAAAAAGATACTTCCACATGTGATCATCCTGCACACACGCACACATATCTTACATGAATATACGTGACAGTCATGCACACAACATTCACCCACAGCATGTGAAATAAACACGCACATGCACATGGACAGTACCTCCTCATCTACACGTGGTGTTTATGGATTAAAACAGGGTAGCGATGCGTAGGTGTGCATCCTCGTGGACTCGCAGCTCTGTTTGTGTGGTTGCGTTCTCTGTAATAACCATGGCAACGGGCACTATATTTGTCCTCCACAGAGCAGTCAGAGATGTGCAGAAAGTCTGTCCTTATTTCCACATTGCATTAAAACAGAATAAAACATCACCTCTGAGTGGTCTGACTTATTTAGGTCTGCAAGGCACAGTTTCATTATTTTCACCTGTTACTTCAATATGCATATAGAAGCATCTTCAGTAACTGACTAGAATTGAATACTGTCAGTCATAATACAGCAGATCAGACCAATCAGTGTTAAAGTGCTTTCTTTTAGTAATTATCTTTAGGAATTTATCAATTTTCATTGGCACTCAATCAGTTTATAGTGGCTATAATTCATGTAATTACCCCAAGTTAATCACAGCATGCACAGTTTCTCATCAGTAGATTTGAATATCATTAATAATGAAACATTCACATCCTCATCAAAGCTGTGCATCCATGACTTCTGTCTCTTAGGGACTACTTCTTTGATGCCCTACAATTAATTGGCAGTAGGACATGTCTGCCTCGGAAACACATATTAGGGCAGTGCACACATAAAAAAAAATCCTCCACACATACTTTTTAAACTTACATATATCATTAGTTGGCCTGTTTTACTTATGTATCACTTGCACATTATTGTGTGTAACTGATATTTAGGTTGTGTGAGACTTTACCACCAGTTTAGGAATCATCCAAAGTTGACATGCATATCACAGATGCACAGGTGGAGCCTAGCGTGTGCTCTAATGCTTGCAGGCTCCAAGCGTCGGGGTACAGAGTGGGAGCAGAGTGGTGTGATTTTGCCTGGAGAAGGGAAGCGGCTTTTTTAAAAGTCAGAGCATCTGTGTTCTCTTTTTCTGGAAGATAACGCTCCATCCCACAAGTCTTTCTTTAGTAACAATGAAAAAGGCAGACATTTTGCTAACTTTTCCCTCAAATTTCACTCAGACTTTTAGCTACAAACACAACTCTAGCTCTTTCAAGTGACCGTGCAAACCCTTGTTTTAACAAAGTATCCATATCTCGTGTGTGCGGATTCTATCTTTGATAGCTCAAGATTATTTTCAAATTCACCAGAAATTGTGCAGATTTTTCTTTTTTCCCTTTAACCCCTCTTCTGTTTTTGCTGCTCTCTCTTTTCACGTACACTTGCTGCATTGTCTTGCCCAAGTTAAAATATTTAAAACAGAACTCTGGAGATTTACGTTTAGTCCCTCCATTAAATGAGGACTGAGATGTTCTGACATCTAGCCCTTAGTGTGACTGAATCTCCAGAAATGCTGACACCTACACTTTCTATAATGAATATAGGAAGTTTTTTTTGTTCCATTAGAGTCCATTTATTTATTAGAATAAACCAAGTGAAAGCCCCAGATTTAAATTTTCTGACTACACAACCCCCCTTCCAGAGCCACTGAAGACATTTTACTGCAGTTTTTGTGAGACGAGAGATACTCCCTTTGATAAACAGTGAAATTTGAGTGCCCCCAGAAATGTCTTTGCATAACTTTGCACAACCTTTCAATGAATCTGTCACATGCAGGAATGTGTTTAGTTTAGTTCTCTGTAAGATAGGCATGTGTTGCACTGACACTCAGGGCAGGTGCTCCTCTGGCTGACACAGCATTTAAGCAGCAAAACAAAATAGTGCACTACTGTAATGAGATTAAATATGTCTGTAATGTAACAAAGAAATGCATTAGTCTTCTTAGATTCAGAGTTTTCATCCTACTTTCTAATCCAAAAATTATGCCACTTGTGTTGCATAACTTCTTCAATTATCTGCATAATGAGGAGATAAGAAAGAGAAAGAAAAGAGAGAAAGAAAACATCATGAGATGCATCAACGTGCGTGAAAAGGCTCTCTCAAGAATGTGATGGCAAAGTGCAAAGCTCTTTGGTATGTCTTTGTTTTCAGGAAAGCATATGCATTGATATGTAAGGATGGCAATTATGTAATAATGGATTTCAGGCGAGGTTGCAGAGCTGTGCTAAATAAGTTAATGAGCATTAAAAGATATTTTCTATACGATTAGTAAAGTCATACCTTACATGTCTTTTACAAATTAAAAAGTGATGTTTTATATATATTGTATTGTATTTTGTATCACATATAAAGCCAAATTCTGTTCAGACGAGGACGTCACCATTCAAAGTGATATAAAGTTCTGAAATGATGTGCACATCACATTTCTAAGTGCTACATGCTTAATATAATGCACTTTAACTAAACAACTCAGCTGAAGTGAAGTGAGGACCTGCTCAGCGGAATACATTTGTCTTCATCTACACAGATATGTGAGGTCAGACAGTGTCAGAGGCATGACTCAGGAATTCAAATTTCATTTAAATCTCCTCTTACTGGCAATATGCTGAACATTATATAATTCATCTCACCATTAACATTTTACAGAATGTGTTTCCTACCCTTCAGTACACGTTCCTGGAAATGGCTCTGTACTTTTCTACTGATCTACTGGAGCAACATACACTCACCCAGTACTTTATTAGGTACACCTGCATTTAGACGTGTGGACATGGTCGAGACGACCTGCTGAAGTTCAAATAGAGCATCAGAACTGGGGGGAAAAGGGCGACTACGAGCGGGTGATGGTTATTGGTGCCAGACTGGTTGGTCTGAATATTTCAGAAATTGATGATCTACTGGGATTTTCCCACACAAATATTTCTTGAGGTTTATGGGGAATGGTCTGAAAAAACGTTCTATGAGTGAAAATGCCATGTTGCTATGAGAGGTGAATGGCCAGATTAATTTGAGCTGATAGAAAGGCAACAGTAACTGCCATGTTAACCAGCAGGATTACACAGCATGTCATAAAGCTCACATCATCTCAAACTGATTTCTTGAACACGACAGCGAGTTCACTGGCCTCAGCTCTGCAACTGTGTGATGCTATTGTGTCATTATGAACCAAAGTCTCTGAGGAATGTCTCCAGCGCTTTGTTCAGACTATGCTGCGAGGAATTAAGACAAATAAAATATTTCAAGTTTTCGGCTGTTTTAAGATTAAGCAGGTCTATTCAACACATCTGTCAGACCTCTGCACTGGTGTGGGACCATGAATTTGTTTTTTTGGGTGCATTTCAGTTTCAGGATCCATTTACTTTTTTTAAAATTAAACCTTGCTTTTTCTTTTTATCTGTTTATTTAAGCTTGTTTTTTCACCCTGGAATAAATTTTGGCTTCCATTATGGTTTTCTGCAATCGCAACCAAGCAAGGGTGATTGAATGACTAAGGCACTGGACTACAATCAAAAGCTCCATGAGGGTTTTTTTTTCATAATATAATTATTTATTTTCCATTTGTTTTTCCATCAAGTCCTTCACATATTTTTGTTAGAAAAAATGGTAAGCAATAGCTAGTAGCACACATTAGCCTTGGTGAAAATTTGATTTGCACTGGTTAAAACAGAGTCCACTCCATCTCTCTGACCCAAAAGTCTGTTCTGAAGCTGACGGTGCTGAAAAGCAGTGCAAATCTTGTTAATCTCAAACAACCTGTAAGAACTGAATAGCACACACACCAGATTGTGTGTGAGTGCGTGCAGTACGTGAATGCTGCACAATGCTAAAGGGACACACAGAGAGGAAGTGAGAGGGTGAGTGAAATAAAGGCACTTGTGTGGTACTTGGCAAAAATGCTGTAGGTTTCAGTGCATCAGTGAAGGTAAGTGTGTGGGAGGATGACGGCACACATCTCCTCCGCGGCCACTGAAAATCATTTTTGTGTGTGAAGATAGAAAACGGCGTGCGTGTGTGTGTGTGTGCGCACGCAGTAGTGCTCGGATCTAAGTACTAGTCAGAGTAGCCGCAGGCGATCTCTATGACTTTCCACAACTGCAGATAATTCTGTTTTTACACACACAGTATTCAGTGCAGAGCATGTAGCATCCTGCGTGTGCAATACATGTAGCAAATGCATTACAGGTGACATTTCAGCACTCATTTTAATCATCACTCAAAGCTGAAAGAGCAAGGTGAAGTGCTATTTGAACCATTTGCTAATTACGTGCATGTGTGTGTGTGTATTTGAGTGTATTTGAGTGAATGGAGACCTTATGTGCACATGTTGATATCACACTGCAATCCATCCAGTGGTAATTGCAGGCTTGGTGTGAGCTTTCACAGCACGTGGACACACACACACGCACACTCACACACAAGGGTGCGGAAAATGAATGAAGTTTTGAATGCAGAGGTTTATTTCTCCACCTTTTTTATGTGGGTCAGAGGCATAATGCTAAATACCTTTGCCCTTGAGAGCTCCGTTCTAATGCTGCTAAATATAAGCCTCTCAAACTGTGTGAGAAGGCACAGCGAGGGCGCTCTTTGAGAGGAGAGACGCCGAGACAGAACGAGTTCAAAACGCAGCAAATACAAACTACAACATTGAGGCAGAGAAATGGCGAAATGAAAGAAAAGAAAATGAAAAAGAAGTGTTAGGGCAGCCAAAAAAGAAGGACAGAAGAAACAAGAGGCTCTATTCCAAGTTTGTTTTCTGCTGTCTGTTAAACCTTGGGGAAAAAAAACCTTCATGCATTATGCAATTCCATGTGACAGAAAGATGGGGATTGGGGCAAACCAGGGATACAGACCACATTATCCAGTCATGCCAGAGTTTATCAAGGGAGAGCTCTTGATGCATGAAAATCTGTATGGTGCTGTTTTTGCCATCACAGGGTCTGAAGTGATGACGGGGAACAATAGTGGGAGTGGAAGAGGACTGGCGAAAGCAAAGTAGCTTTGAATAAATGCAGCATTCGGGGGAAGGAGATGGTCCTGCTTGTCAGATGTCTGGGTGTTTGCAGATCAGCGTGATGAAGCTGGAGAGACAGGATACAGTGCTTTATTTTTTAATTGTCAATTTCCTTTCTTTTGCTGTTTGATAATTATCTTTTTGTCACAATGAGTTATTTTGAGATATTAAAAGAGCTCCATCAGTGGAGCTTAACACCATGAAGAAATGGCATAAAAATTAAATGCCTTTCAAGTCTTTTAGTGTCAACTCTTTTGTTTTTGCCACTGTTTGCAATAAAAACAGGAAATTGTTCACAAAATTAAACCTGGATTGTACAGAAAACAACAAATCGCCAGTGCTTATATTTCCAGTCTGTGTGCTGGGACGTATCAGATTAGGACATTTGACAGATGACATCGTGACTAGTGGTTAGTATTCTCAATGACAAGGTGGCTATAAAAACAAAAAACCCTGCTGCTTATCATTTCAGAGAACATGATTTTGTCAAATGTAATGTTCTCACACCTCTAATAAGATAGCTTCTCCCTCAGGAAACTATCTTTTTAGAGTTATTTCTGTCAAAGGTGTCGGACACAAAAGCTGAACTCCTTCCCTGCTGATCTTTTTGGGCTCAAAGTCATTAAATGTGCTCTAACCTGTGAACTCTTTAGAAGACGTTTGCTCTCTGTAACCACAAACCAAACTCTTCCTGTAGCCGTCGCATTGAAATGTAATTATTATGTGATTGCAATGTTCAAAATTTGGTGTTTAATCTGGATTCATGTTGTGTTGTCGCCACCTACTGGTGGGCCTGAGTGTGGCGCTTTGTGGTGCGCATGCTTTGGGGTGAGGCTCAATTAAGCGCACGTGTCACCAGAGACTGAAGGCTCGAGCCAGAAAGAGAATGCTGGCCTGTGTAAAGGGTGGAAATATAGAAGATATGGACTACAATTGCTCATGAATGTTCAGTAGAAAGGCGCACACGGTATGTTGGTGCATTTACTTTGTGTGTATGTTTTATTTGAGTTGTAATTTTTGTTCTGCTGATGTAATATCCGTGTTTTTCATTGATCATTTCACCATAGTTTTTCACGGTGTTTGCTGGTGAAAAGAAGATTAAAATACTGGCTGAACATCAGTTGGAGCATGGCCCTTTATTCTGCTTCGAACATGAAAAACCTTCAGGAGCAGTTACAGTGAAAAACGTGGCCTGTTATGGAGCGAGCAGCCAGAGCCCTGCACGCCATTCTTCCAAGACCACGTGGAAGAGTAGACTGTGAGTTCTTACATCAGCGAAACGTTTGAACTGCATAAAGAGATCTAAGAAAAAGCCAAAAAGAAAATTGTATGGTGTAGATATTGTACATTTGTTCATTTATTGAAAGTTTATTACTGTGTTGTTTGATATTTAAGGTAGTGTACTCTGGGTAAGTTTCCCTTTATTGTTCTAAGTTGTTGGTTCAAAACATTGTAATGGAGCAGAGTACACAAGAAACTCATATCCTTGAGCAAATACTTCTGGCCTTAGAAGATGAAAAGGCACAGTTAGAAAAGAAATTAGAAACTGAACTTGAAGATGCAGAAAGAGAAGAAGTTGAAGCACGCATAGGAGAAATTCATGGAGACCTTGAAATACACAAAATAGGGCTGCCTCAGCCATCATCTAAACCTGACGCAGAGGTGAGGCGGACAGACCGTCAAAGGCAACTAACAGAAAAAATGCGTGAGTTTAAACAGACAGAGATAACAAGCAAAGAAAGAAAGTTTATGTCAACATATTTAAACTTTAAGGCAGAAATTCAGCTCACTAGGTCCAAACTTAAAGAAGAATGTTCTAAAGCAGAATTAGCTGAAATGATCAAGTCAGTAGAAAAATGTGAGTTAGACCTACAGCAAGATTATGTGGCTTTACGTGCACTGACTACACCATCTCAAGATATGAGAAGAAAGATGGATAGCTGTACTTCAGTTTCTGCTGAGATGATGATACTTCTGAAAAGGCGTTACGCTAGGGCTGCTCGATTATGGCAAAAATGATAATCACGATTATTTTCACTGAAATTGAGATCACAATTATTTGACGATATTTATTTAACCGTTTAAGTCTTAAACGGTTAAATAAATAAATTAAACTTTAAGACCTACCATAGAACCAAGTCGGCCAGAGCTTATATTATTTTGTTTTTTACATGTTGTAGTGCCATTTGTGGGAGCATTTCAAGTTGCTATACATCAATACAACTGTTATAGCCCATATTTTAATAATATGTATGTATTAAGTCCATAGTAACTACATTAATTGCAAA